GCGGCTTTGAGTCACGTGTTCTATGGATTTGCTTTGTTATATTGGCCAACAGGGCAAATCAACCAATACTGGCGTAGGGGCAATCAAATCAGTCAAATCTTGGCGTTATTTAATTTATTGGCTTTAACGGCAGCGCTGCTCTGCAGCTCTAAACTCTATTTAAATCCGTAAAGACCACCACCGAGCTTGCTTCTCGGCGTAAGGTCGTCGAAATCGTTGCTTGGTAAGATCCGAGACCGACAACATCAATGAGGGCCAAGGCGGTCAGCATAACACAGGGCGTATGAATTGCGTTGCAGATGTGCCACGATGCAGCCCTATGACTCGAGGCAAATTTCGGGCGAGAGATTAACGACGACATAGTCGGCGATGTGAATACTGCAAGTGGAGCGCCAGGCGTAGTCGCCGAAGACACGTCGACAAGAATTGAGTTAACGCCGTCCTCTTATTGTTCAGGTCGGTGAAGCTATTGTCCTACTTGTCATACTTCGCGCAAAGGCAGCTCCGGGAATATCCCAAGTCCGGGGAAGGCAGCATTCTGAACCATTCATCGTTCATTCTACTCTCACGTAAAATTCTATAGCCATGCATGAACATCGAATGGTCTGCTGTCGCTGCACTAACATGAAGTCATGAGTTTCTCTCATAGTTCAAGATTTCCCATATTCGAGACGCACTAATTCGCCATCAGCGACGCGATATACCAAGTGTGTAAACTCATGAATTTGTCCAGAAAGTCACAAGGGGAGAATTCACAATGCGTCCAGTCCGGCCGGAATCTGCTCAAGCCCAGGCCCTATCGTGCTGAGGCGTCGAATTTATTGTCCTTGGACAAGATCATCACGACTGTGGCCTATTCTTGAATTATTTAATGAACCCAAAGTCTGATTCGACGACTTTTGGTTTTTGTTGCTTGAATACGAGATGAACTGAGATAAGGAGGCCACTTGTGACGACTGGCGATGACAACCGCGCCCTAGAGCAGCGCCCTTCCAGGTAGTCCGCACCAGCGATAGTGGGCTCCCTCCAACACGTAAAAGCCGACGCGTCAAAGATGAACAACATCTTATCGCTCAGGATGTTTTAGGTTTAGGTCAATTGATAAAGGTTAATAGTTGTGGTCGTCTTTCCTCTCCACCTAATTCTCAAGCTCTATCCTCTCAGTTATGTTGAATCAACGCTTGCAGTCGGCCTTTGTCAAGAATATCGCCTTCGACCAGCCGTCCGGTCTCCTTGATTTCACCATTGACCAACTGGTAGCGGACGATGGTTGGGACGTTGTGAACGTCCCACTTGGTCCGATAGACGTTAGTGGGTACTTTCCACCTACATGGAGTTAGTTGAGCTGCCGAGAACCGACGCATCGAAGGCTGAACGTGTGCCAGCAGATATCCACTCACTCGGGTCTTTGGCCAACTTCAACGAATGCCATGTTCGGCGCCGTCTCGGCCGAGAAGGCGGCATTGATGTGTGGCAAGGCAGCTCTGACATCAGGACACCATGACTCCCCTGTTTCCGGGAGGTCTGAGGTCGTAAATGTTATGAAGAAAGGTGCATCGGGACTGCCAGGCAGTTGGAGAGCTTCCACGGAGTCCGGTAGCGTGAAGGTTGAGAAAATGGGCATCTTGGCGGTGACGGGCTACTTTCGCGAGACTACGACGAGATTGCTGAGCCAATGAAAGCAGAGGAAGCTGCGATTTAGGGAAGAGGAAAGAACAATGTGAAGCGCATCTTTTCTTAGAAACTATGAGGCGCGGCTTCTGCAAGTAGATAATGGCGTAATACCGATCCACTATGGTGTTGCCGGCCACGGTCTCCGAGACCGGCCGGGGTGGCTCCACGGCGCCGTTCCTTCAAGAGTGGGTACCCGGTCGTGGCCGGCACATATCACCGATTCTCATAAGATAACGCCATAATCATGCCCGGAGTGACTGCAACTCGACCGTACGCCTTTAAGCTATTGTAATAGATTCTTATTGAGTAGAAATTGGTGCAACGACAATTCTGAACCCATTTCCCCTCCAGAACCCCGCTGGTTCAAGGCTCCCTCGATACGTACAGTTGGCTTTGACTTTCGGGCTCGAGAAACACCCCCCACGTAATACCCGACGGATCTTCTCTGGACCTTGCAACGCCTCTCTTTCATCGTTCTTCCACGGATATTTGAACGATGGGCTTGCCATGTCTTCGCCCCAAAGAGTCGTGCACCATTCCCACACATGTCCCGCCATGTCATAGCACCCATACGGCGAGGGACCCTTTGGGAACAACCCAACTGCACAAGTGTTGTTGAAACCGGCCTCCTCTGAGTTTGCAGCATCGGTATTCCACTCAGTGCCCCAGGGAAACACCAACCCCTCGCTGCCAGCCTCAAACTGATCTCCGCGAGACGCCCGCTCCCACTCAGGCTCCGTAGGAAGCCTGACCTCGTCGTTTGGCGTTATTTCCCCGCTCGCGCGCCATCGTTCTGTCAGCCACCTGCAGTAAGCCCGCGCGTCGTGCCAGGTGAGATCTGTCGCTGGCGCGTTTAACCTTTCCGGGTCCGTTCCATCCGGGCTGAGCCAGTCTCGGCCGGTCCCCCGAGCAAACGCCGAATAGTCCCTATTGACGACTGGATAGATGCCAATCCGGAAACTGCCGAGTGAGATAGAGCTTGGTGGCTGTGAGTTGGGATGACTTTCAGAGCCCATGACGAAAATTCCAGCGGGTATTTGTGCGAGGCCTGTGAGGTTGCGGGGGTCGCCCAGAGAAGAAAGGATGCGACCGGCTTTCTCGCGCTCCTTGGGTGTCAATAAACCTCTGTCCACGACTTTCAGTACCAGTTTTGCTACCGACTGTTCGAATTGTGAGTCTTTGGGGACGAGGTCGGCAATAAGCAGGGCAGCACGGTGAGATTCTGGTGACGCCCCGTCAAGCAACCGTTCCAACAGTGTCTCCGCTTTGGCAGAACCTGCGAGACGGACCAACCAGCTCCTGATGACTGGCTGTGAAGAGCCTGGATTTGCATAGTAGAAGTCGAGTACTTCTTCGTTTGGGAGAGTTGCTAGTTGTCGAGCTGCAAGCAATTGCTGAACCGCACTGCAGGACCAGGCCGGAGTCAACAACGATGTTGGCAAAGCCAACGTGCTTCGCTGGTCGACACGCTTGATTCTCAAAGCCTCCTCATAGGCCTTCGACAGAAGGTATTCGGCAGAAGTTCCATAAGAACCAACGACCTTGATCCACTCATCGAGGATGTCTTCGGCCTGTTCCGCCACACATCCAGCTTGAAGTGCCAAGGCGAATAAGGCAGGATTCGATGCGGAAGAGTCCAGTCCTATGCCTTCCTGAATCAACAGCTCGTAAGCTGCTCGCTTTCTCTGGGTTGTCAAAAGCGGTAGTATGTCGTGACGAGCCACGACTGAAGGTAGCACCCAGCAGCTGCAAACTTTGGTATCCCCGAGTAAAAGAAGCCGAACGTCGTTTGTAGACTTCACCAAGGCAGTAATGGAGCCCAGAAGCTCAACGCCCTCACTCCCAGCCTCATCGACCCCGTCTATGATGATTTGAAAGCCGATTTTCTGGTCTCCATGTTGCGTCAATAACTTTGGGAGCGTTCTCTCGACAAGGGTCCGAAGAGACTCTGCGCCATCGACAAGGAAGTAGAATGGCTCAAGCTTGCCAGTCTCCCACGTTTCCTCATGCGAGTCCCCAAGCTCGTTGCGAATTACTGAGCGTGATTCCCGGAAGTCATCTGTCGCCATCCGATAGCTAACATATTTCGCGAATGTGGTTTTCCCACTTCCACTCGGGCCCGTCAGGAGCAAGATCCTGTTGTCGCGTACAAGCTCGACAGCGGAGAAGTAGACCGGGACCTCGCGATCGTCGCCGACTCTGCGTTTCCGTAAGCCCTTGGCAGCTTTGTCTTCAAAGGTGAAGTTCGCAAGGAGTGGTATGTAGCCGTTGGCCAGGTCCACAACAGTGCCATCCGGTCGGGTGAGCAGTGGCTCGCTGCCAAACGCTGCTGCTTTCGATCGCAGCCTTTTGAGAGTGTCCGAGAAGGGGTCGGTCATATTGCAAATCTCATACACCGCATTCTACACAACCGGCAACAGACACCGATGGGGCGATGAGTCGGCCTTATATACCAATATTCCCGGTGGAGAGAACTGATCTCTCGGGTCTAGTGCGGGGGCGCCATCGGCACGAAACCGGAGGGGGGAACCAGGGGGCCCTGGATGCCTCGATCTTTTTGATCCATCTGCCTAGCTGACTGCGAGGCACTGAGCTTCTTCTTCTTCAAGACCAGTATTTCGGGTTGAGATTATGGCCGTGAGGGCTTTGTAGGTGTCTCAGAAGATGCTGGCGAGTCTAGGTAGAGAAGCCACAATTAAAACGGGGATTAATCGGTGCAGCATTTCCGCGACTGTTTACGCCATTCTTCATGTTTGGATCAAGTCATCTAGTTGAACGATAGGAGGCTCGTTTCTGCCCGGGTACTAGACAAGCCCTGCTTTCTTTATCATCATTGTGGCCCTGGTCACCTATTACGTCCCTTCCACGTCTCTACTAAACCGATTATCCTCTTGTCCATGTTCTTATCTGTTTCCTGACACTCTGCTTCTGCCTCTCATGCCTAAAAGCGATATAGTCATCCCTCATCTTGTACTCAAAGGCCCAATGGTCAATGGGATGAGCGTTCATTATCAACAACTGGGCCCCCTTCTGTACCCTGAAGTTCTTGCTGGGCTCGCTTTTGGCTGCGCGGGGAAAGGTTAGCCGTTGATAACAACCTATGAGACGCAGGAACTAAAAGCTTACTCTCTTCGTCGATACATATACCACATAACAGTTACGCTGATGATCGCAAGACCCCCGAACAATATGAGAATCTGATATCCATATTTGTATTTGGGAGCATCGTATGTAGGAAACAAGACCACTGCAACATTTTCAGCACTTTTTCTCATGATTTACATGCAGTGGTAGTTGGAAACTTACAAGGCACCCAAAGCACAAAGGCGTAAGAAACTACGTTGGCTGTGGCAACCAAAAGTTGTCGGATGCTGGGGTCACCGGCGTTGAGTCTGTTCGCCCAGCTCTGTGATATGTCAGTGTCAGGTTGGCAGTGTTTCGAGGGCCATACTAACAATGAGAACTGGCGTGGCAGCTGAGCCGGCGTATGAGAGATAGTACGCAAACATGAGAGCCCCCTTGGGGATGGTCCAGACGGATAGCAGGATGTTAGAGAGGATCATGAAAGCCTGTACGATGACAATCATCACATAGTTCTTCCCCGTGTGGTCGACGATGATGCCCCAGATCACGGTAACGACAATGTTCAGAGCGCTTCCACCGGTTGGATAGATATTCGCATCCACAACCGAGTAGCCCGCCGACTTCAGCCAAAGGTTGAAGTAGCTCGTCGCAGAGTGGCAGGCAGCGACCATGCTAGACCATCACTGTTAGCTTTAGAAATGGCAGTCTGCGTTGGCGGTAACCTACGTGTATGGCACAACAAAGACCCAGATCTCCCAGCCAAGATAGATGCGCTTGGCCTCCTTCCATGTCAACTTTTCTTGGGCCCTTTGGCCGAACCGCTCGATTCTTTCTACACCGTATTTGATATGCTGCAGTTCCGTTAGCATCGGACCGACAGCCGGGATGACGTTAAATTGAAGAGGATGTACCTCGGCTGACCAGTAAAAGGCCTTGGTATTGTGCGGCAGATCAGGCAGTCCAAAGAATCCCCAGATGGCGATCGGAAGCGAGATGATGGCATCCATGATGAACAGCCACCTCCACCCTGCCAGACCATGACGACCGTTCATGCTGGTGTACAGCCCCGCCTGCAGATACCCGCTGAACATGCTGGCGATAGATTCAACCTGCAGCAGAATGGCCAGCCGCTTCGTCAGCTCCTTCGGCCCGTACCAGCCCCCGAGCATGGAGATGTAGCCCGGGAAGGCGCACGCCTCAAAGAGTCCTATGAAGAAGCGCAGGGCGTACATGGTCTGGATGTTCTTGGCGAAGCCCATGCCGATGACGAGCAGGGACCAGACGACCTCGCACGTCGGGATCAGGACGGAGGAGCGCACGAAGCTGAGCTGGGTCATCTGGGCGGGGACGCTGCCGACCATGATACCGAGGCTGAACCAGGTGTTTAGCCAGTTGCGCTCGTTGCCGTAGAGGCCGAGGTCTTGTTGCATACCGCTGACGAAGGCATTGCCTGGCAGGCCGTTAGCGGGAGTTGTTCAACTGGGGGAGGCGCACTCACTGTAGTTCGTTTGGTCGAGGTACTTGATGAAGTACCCGAAACAGACTGTTGGACTGCGTAGGTGTCAGGCAAGGCTCCGGTGAGAGATCGGGGTCGATGAAACTTACAAGAAGAAGAGGTCAAGTCTTTGGACATATGCGCGGTACTCCGGGTCTCCTTCGACGGAATCCCAGACGTATCCGAGTATCTTTCTCCACCACGAGGAGGCCTTCACATCGCCGGAAGGGATCTCCGTAATGCTCAATGGCCTCGTCTCTTTGGAGTTCTTGTCCAGGTCAGACGTCGTATCCGACACGGCCACAGGGGCGATGGCCTTTGAATCAGACATTGCAGCCAATAGCAAGAAATCGAAGCAGGGCTGAATGCAATCAACCGTCTCCAGTCACCTCTGATGTGCAGCTGCAGGTCAAAGCTCCGTTCAGCCCAGATCGCTATATACTTTGACATCTGCGAGCGCAACGATTTTTCCCGATCATGCTAACCACTTTCATAGAAACTAGATATCGAACCGACATGGGCTTTTTCATCGCCAGGGTCCTGATTTGCCGCTCCAAAATGGTGTCATCGTTCTCCTTTGCGAGCCAAAATCGTCGAATCCTTCTGCCCCATCTCCAGGGGCGCCGCCGACGCTGTAAGTGGATAAGGGGGCTGGACCTGCCACTGTCTCTCGAATTTGCCTGGTGACTTTGGGTCGAGGAGGAGTCCGGCAGGCATTGAAGACTGCCGCTGTCGGACGATAGCGACTGCATATGCGGCTCGACTCCGACATGTCGTGATAGGTGCCCCGCAATGTCGTTATCTCGCTCCGCTCTGTCGCCTTGCTAACCCCGGCTTGGTATGCCGGTGCCGACTCCGAACAGTTGCTGTGATTGCAGAATTTCGGTGCGTCGTCTCTAATATGTATTTGTCAATACTCTTCATGTTTTCAAGAACCGGGTTGAACCAGGGAATGAGTAGCAGGACATCCAGAGTGTTTGTGGTGTCGGCTGCTGTAGCCCGAAGTCAGGATTGTAGTCCTGTGTAAATGCGTATTGATATCTGGTCTCGGCTTCTACAGCCCATGTGGATGAGATCCCCCGGTGCCACAGAGACACGTCCCAGCCATGTAGCATGCGTCGGCCACTTGCCCGGCCGGCTCTGCACGAGGGCTGATCATCGCCGCGATCGCACATAAACCCCGTGCGCCGCAGGGCGATGCTCAAGATACCTTATCACTTTTCTTAGTTGCACTGCTCCAATAAGTCGTTGATCTCGGGCTGAAATCTGCCGAAACCTTCCACCGCATCTTGGTATCAATCCCACGCTTCTACCCACCCTATTCCCTGTCGCCCAATCCCTCACTCAAACCACCACAATGACGCCAGAAACCCTCCGCATATCCCTCGAAAACGTCGACTTCCGCCTGCCAACCCAAGTAACCGACGACGCCAGCGTCACCGCGCTCAAAAGCCTCGTCTTCGAGCCGCTCCTCCGCTGGCAGCCCCACGGCAAGATCCAGCCCGGCCTCTTCGACCGCTGGGCGCACTCCGACGATGGGCGCACCTGGACCTTCCACATCCGCGACGGCGCCGTCTTCCATGACGGCAAACCGTGCACCTCGGAAGATGTCGTGAGCTACATCCTCGGACTGCTGGACTCGCGTGACTACTTCGGCATGCGCTGGAGCTACAGCCGCTACTTTGCTCGCGCGAAGCTCTCGGCGCCTGACGCGCGGACAGTGAGGGTGGAAAATCCGGAGGCGTTCGCGCAGGTGCTTGATATCTTTTGCGAGTTCTGGCCGGTGAGGGTGGATGGAGATGGGAAGCCGGTGCTTGGGACGGGACCGTTTCGCGTGGTGGAGTTTGAGCGGGAGGATGGCGTTGGGAGGGCGAAGCTGCAGCGGTTGAGCCCGTCGAGACATGGGACGCCTCATGTCATTGTTGCGACGCAGGATGGGAATGCGGCGAAGAGGTTGCAGCAGCTGCGCGAGGGAGAGGTGGATGCGGCGCTGAACTTGGAAAGGGTTGAGGATCTTGGCCTGCTGAACTTTGATGCGTCGCTGCGATGGGGCAGGGTTACGAGCACGCTTTCTGCGATATACTACCTCAACTGCAGCGAGGGCATCTTCCGCTCTGCGAAGGCGCGTCTGGCGGTCAACCTTGCTGTGGACAAAGATGCTCTGGTGAAGGAGGTGTACAAGGGCTTCGCACTTCCGTCGGCTACTATTGTGAGCCCTTTCCACCTTGGCTTTCCGGAATCACAGCTGCAGCCTATCCCCTTCGACCCAGAGCGTGCGAGGGAGCTGCTCAAGGACCTGGACCCGACAGAGTCGCTCATTCTGAGGACCCCGACATACATGCCGGAGCACGCGCAGAAGATCTCCAGCTTCGTCGCCAGGTCCTTGAAAGCGATCGGGTTTGACGTTGAGGTTAGAGTTGAGACCAACCGGCCAGAGTACGCCAGGCAGATTGGGCTTCAAAAGCAGATTGGAGACTTGGCGCTATTTGATTCAACAGCCAACAGCACGTTCAGGGTACTGGACGACAAGGTGTCGAGCTCGTCTCACGCCACTTGGTGGCTAGGTTTCCATGACGATGACGTTCAGGATTTGTTCCAGACGGCACGGAGTAAGATCACAAGAGAGGATAGGGCAGAGGCTTACTCGGCCTGTCTGAAGAGGCTCCATGATAATCCGCCGTGGTTGTATGTTGCACACCCAGAGGTGGTCTGGGCGACGAGGCATGACACGTCATTAAGAATTGGCCACTCGGGCATACTTACGCTGGGAGATTGAACCCTTCTGAACCTTGCATATATCGAGAAATCCATAAGTAGACAGTTGGTATCTAAAAGAGCTTCCTGCGCTCATGGGTCCTCGGGTCTACGACCAGAGACAACATACCTGCCACACAGATTAGCATCCTCCACATCGATCACCGCCAGGTATGCAAACTTACACAGGCCACCAGATATGTATCGTCGGATCCCTCATCTCCTTTCTCGCCTTGGCGCAGAGCACCAACACCTCCTCTCGCGACCATCCCTTGATATTCGTCAGCGTCCCCAACGCCGCCGTCTCCAGGAACGTGTCGAGGTTCGCCAGCCCCCAGCCGCCAATGTCCTTCATCATGCGGTTGCGCGGCCACGTGTTGGTCGGCCACTTGTACACCGTCTCCTGGACGTCGACGAAGCCGCGGTCGATAAGCAGCTGCTTCCACAGCAGCGGCAGGCGGAGCGTGCGGTTGATCTTGTCCATGGCGTCGACGACCTCGACGGCCCACTGCACGAGGAAGCTGTCCTTGGGGATGGTGTCGTCGTCGCTGCGGGCGTCCATGCAGACGTCTTGGGCCTCGAACCAGCCGCCGGGCTCGAGTTGGCTTGGGCGGGGTGAGTGATGGCGTGGAGGGTTGGGGGCGGGTGGAATGAGTGACTCACTTGTAAATGCTGTCGACGAGTTTTACGGGGTCGAGGATGCTGCCGCTGAGGGTTCGGGAGAAGATGAAGTCGAATTTCTTGGACCAGGTCCAGTTCTTTTCAATGTCGTCGATTTCGAAGGAGCAGTTTGGGGGCATGCTGACACACAGTCAATATCGAGGCATGGACTTGCCAAAGACTTGGTATAGGGGGAACTCACAAGTCGGGCTGCACCGGGCTGATGTCGACGCCGATAACTTCAGCTTCCGGGTTTTGCTCAGCTGCAAGTGAAATTGTCATGAGTCAAGAATCAAAATGAGTCGCTACAGTAAAACTCACCATACTCCAAGGCCCAGATTCCGGTGCCCGTTCCCAAGTCAAGAACTCTGTTGGCGCCGTTCACTTTGGGGCAGGTACACAGATAACCGCGAAATGTCCTCATGAACAGCTCATGCTGCAAGTCCAAGCGATCTTGCTCCACCTGTGAGTCGTGTGTTAGTCGCCCAAGATCCTTAGCAACGTCTAACGTCTAAACGTACGTTATCGTGGGGGAAGTAGTATTCTGGACGACATCAGCATTCATCATCAAGACTCATTCCACCCCAGTGGTTGCATACTTCCTCGAGATTGAGAATGGTAAAGACGGCCGTACTCATCTTCAAACTTGAGCACGGATGAACGGATGGAAGTTAGAGAATCGCGGACGGACTGTGAAGAAGACTGATCAGTAGCTGGACGCCGTGGATGAAGACATGTCGAATAGACGTACGACGTTGATGGCCGAATCGGTCTCAGTCTCATCCGGTGCCTTCACGACAAGTCATCAGCACATCCACTCCAACTAGCCCCTCCTCACTCGGGACCCGTACAATGATACCCGTCGCCGGATTCTCCGCTCCATGGGCAGCTGCCGGAGCCGCGGTGCCCGCTTCCCCGGCCTCTGGGGCGATCGCGGGGGCCGCCGGGGTCGCTGCCGGCGGGGAAGAGCGCGTCTCTTCTCCCTGAGTCGCCATCGCTGCTGGAACAAGGCAGTGGTCACGCGAGATCCTGCCCAAATGTCGATGCTGCTGTGGACAGTCGTTCGCCGTTTAAACACCGCAGCGATCGAGTGAAGGTTTGTGAGAAAAGGTACCGGAAGGTGGGCACGGTGAGTTTGCTCGCTTCGAGGGGCGATCCGAGTGTTTTATCCGCTGGGCTGAGCAGAACTTCCGCCCCCCTCCCCCGTCCCCTCCCCACCATCCTTTCCAAGGGTTAGTGCCCCTCCAATTCCCTGCCCATCGGCGAGAGCAGTCGTCGCCCTCCATCACACACCGCACACCGGTTTAGAGGAGTCGCTGCTGCAAGGTGTGTTGGTGTGTGTGCTGAAGTGTGGTGTGGTGCGGTGCCCAGCTCCCCGGAAATCAGTTGACAGCGGGGTTATTCGTTAGCGATATCTGTATGCTCCTCCAATGGATGCTGACGGGATGCGAGGCCCTGACTAGCGACTGCAGAAACGGCGCGCGCAAGGGTGCTCTGAATCGCCGACACGTGGGAGCGACGAACGGGGGGCGTTTAAGTGCTCCTTGTGAGTGGACAGTTAGGATCAAGTCGCCAGCCATTCAGGACTCTGTCAACGGGTTTCTTCAGCGAGAGAGACATGACAAGGGGGAGATACCCGGATACCTGGGTGTGGAAAGTTGCGCGCGTGGAGCGGTGACCCGCGAACCTGGTAAAGTGTGCGCATCATGTTGCGCAATGTTTCCAGGGGCTGGTTCGGGCTAGTGATTGATTGACCAGCGACCGGTGACGCAGCGAGGATCATTACAGGAGGGATATCTGTGATGGCACGAAGAGTGACAGATCTACGAGCGGGCTTTCAAATCCCCGGGCAAGTCCAGCTCTAACCAATGTCGCGGTTGTCGTTGGAACATGGAAACTGTGAGGGTTACAACCAGTCGTTGCATTAGTTGGACGCGCGGACTTTTGGCCTTTCAGCGCTCTTCCTTGCGGGGCTTGCCCGCCTTCCAGCATCGCAGCTGGTATGGAGTATCCCATCTCCATCATGCCATTTTCGAGAGTTTACTTGAAGCGGTCAAGTCAACAGCACACGACAGACACCACACAAATCGGGGGCCAATCAAGAAGCATCGTCGTGAATGTGGCTTGAACCCTTGGATAGCGGAGACACCGGCCCGGCCCGTAAGCCATTCTCCCCCGCCACGGCGGAAACGGTAAGTCTCAGAGCTTTCAGCTGTCCCTTGAAGACTCCCGCCGTGGAGGTTACGTGTTGTGTACGAAGCCTACTGAACTTGTAGAACGAAGCATGATTTGGATTGATTGCGGGCTGCTGACCTGCGCGCGATCATGATCAGTCCGATTCAGCGCAAGCAGCAGGGCAGGACTGTGACCCCCGATACTCTCGGAACTGACCACCGAAGTGCGGCCCCACATGCCCGAAGTCCGCGGCGAGATGGTGGTACAGTGCTTCGGACATGGGAGCAGGTCATATCCGGCCTTGTGGAGTTCTCAGATGTATTTTACTGATGTAGCTATTCAGGGCAGACTTGAGGTTAACAATTATGGTGGCAGTTTTGAGTTTGGCGCCTCCATGCTGTGGGGGACGGACCAACAGTTGGGCCGCTTCGACTTGCACAGCTGACGGTTGACAACATTCGGCTCAGACACCGCCACCACGGATGTCTCTGAGATGCATGATTTCATATGCTTGGGAGACCGGTTCGGAATAACCAAGGCTTGTGTTGACTTGCTCAAGCACGTCCTTCAGGCTGCACTCGTCTCAAACGTGTCCTCGCCATCTCAATCACGGCCCAGATGCACATTATTCGAGACAATCATCATGAGAAAAAGCGAGGAACCCCAGGTGGCCACAAGCAGGCACGTGGGCTTTGGTGACTAATTAACCACCACTGATAAGAAAGATAAAAAAGAAACAATTGAAATCAAAACATCGGTCAGTATTGACGACATCTCAAGCCAAGACCGCTGACACCTTCACATTTTATAGTGCTTGGCTCTTGGCGGGCCCGACTTTCCCCTCACCTCGCCCCGACGACCTTCCCGATCCGACCATCGGTTCATGAGCTCACCCCCGCTGCCCGCGGCCGATTGGACTCTCGCGACGACCAAGTTTCTCGGCGGCCCGGGATGAGCATGCGATGTTTATGTCGTTTCGCTGCTGCGGTGGCACGCGAATCCGGCTGGCAGCCGCGAAAAGTCAATTGGACCTTGAAGGGCGGTGGCGGCGCGAAACGAAATAAAATGCAGCCTGCCGCCCTCATACCAGCCCGCGACTGGGCTTCTGTTTCCTGCAGTCTCTGGTTCTCAATTGCCTCTCGCAAACCGCAGCAATGAAGTTCTCCAAGACGACCACCGCGACGTTGCTGTCGCTGGCCTCGGGCGCTGCTGCTGCCTCGAACGAGACGTGCCGGCCCAAGGTAGATTCGGAGCAGCTCCAAGCCGACCTGACGACTGAAAAGTGAGCACCCTCACATTACCTGCAAAAGGCCTTCTCCTGGCGAAGTCGAACATCACTGACATCTCGCGACCAGCCTGATGGCCAACCTCGAAGCCCTCAACGAAATCGCCTTCGCCAACGGCGGCAACCGCGCCTTCGGCCTGCCGGGGTACGCCGCCTCGGTCGACTACGTCTGGGACCGCATCTCCTCCATCCCCGCCACGCGCGCCTGGAAGCAAGACTTCCCCGCGACCTTCGGCCAGGTCGTCTCGATCGACTTTTCCATTGACGACGAGTCCATCTACGTCTTCGGGCTGACGTACTCGCCCTCCACCAGCGAAGAGGGCATCACCGCAGAGCTCGTTCTGGGCCCCGACGGCGCGGCGGGGTGCGACGCGGCGAACTACGAGGGGCTGGACGTGGCGGGCAAGATCGTGCTCGTGCAGCGCTTCCGGTGCCCGACGGGGGGCACGCTGGCGGGAAGAGTGAGGCCCGCGGCGGCGGCGGGCGCGGCGGCTGTGATTGTGTATCACGACATTGAGACGAACGCGACGGCGGGGAGTTTGAGCGCGCCGGACCCGGAGGGGTTTGTGCCGGCTGGGTTTATCAACCTCGCGGACGGGTTAAGGATCAAGGAGAGGTTGGATAATGGGGAGAGTGTAACGGCGCGCTTCCAGCAGACGCAGATCGTCGAGGAGCGGATTACGCAGAATGTGTTTGTCGAGACGGAGGAGGGCGATCCGCATAACGTTGTGATGGTATGTTTCCTCGGGATGATGTGGGAGAGTGTGTTCTGACGATGGCAGCTTGGAGCGCACCTGGACAGCGTGCAAGCCGGCCCTGGCATCAACGACGACGGTAAGCAGTCTCAACCGCCGCAGGACATTCTCCAGAGACTGACAACCCCCAGGCTCCGGTACCAGTCTTCTTCTAGAGCTTTTCCTCGCCCTAACCAAATACCGCACCAAGAACAAAGTCCGCTTCGCGTGGTGGGGCGCCGAAGAAAACGGCCTCCTGGGTTCCAAGTTCTACTGCGCCAACCTGCCGCCCTCCGACGTGGACGACCTGCTGGTGTACCTCAACTTCGACATGGTGTCCAAGGGCTTCTTCGGGGTGGCGGACACGGACGGCAGCAGCCACGGCAGCGTCGCGCCGCCGGGGTCCGACGTGGTCGAGCACATCTACGAGGCGTACTTTGCCGATAAGGGGCACGTTGTCACGCCGGCGTTGCTGACCAACGGCAGCGACTACGCGTCCTTCTGGCAGATCCTCAACAAGCCGTTTGGGTTCCTGCACACGGGCACGGCGGTCGCGCAGGACCCGTGCTATCACCAGGCCTGCGACACGATTGCGAACCCGGACCCGGAGGTGATTACTGTGAACGCCAGGGTGGGTTTTTATCAATGAAGATGGGTGACGTAGCGTGTAATGCTAACTTGTGTGCAGGCTGCGGCGCATATGGTGACTGTGCTGTCTCTCAACGGCACCGAGTTGATTCCGAAGACGTCTGTTAATGCGACCATGCTGAGCCATCTGCAGACGCGCAGTTTGGAGCCTGATGTGATTCGGATCGAGGAGTTGGAGGCGCTGGGGGAGCGTCATCTCGGATGCGGTCATGACATTTAGATGCTCTTCGGGGGAGGACGGGAATATTCACGCGGTGACATACAATCACCAAGTTCATAATCAAAACAAGAGTGGTTTTGGCAAATGCAGCATGGCATAAAAACAATACTTTTGCTGGAATAATCTGGCCATCTTACGTGGACAGGGTGATGAGTGACATGTCGTCAGAAGATCAATGGTGGCCCTAGCTGAGAGTGTTAGCTGGCACTGCAAAATTAGCGCAGGATCGATGAGCAGAAAGTCTCCAAGAGAGGATGCAACAAAAGGACTCGGCGTCTGGAAGCCCAACACAGCTCCCTGTCCCCCGTCCCAAAAGAACGGGGACGCCGGCCTCCCACTGCATCCGAAGGAAGGGAAGCGAGATGAGAAAACAGCCCCCATCAGGTTTCTTGTCTTGGAGAACATGCTCAGCTGCCACGTAGACTGGTCTGCTTCTTTTCTTTTTTGGCATGCACAGCAAGTTCAGCCTGACAGGTGGCGCTGACGAGCATGTGAAGAATGTGAAGAATAACCGCCGCCGCCGATTGCCCTACGAACGAAGCCGCACAGCTCCCGCTCCGCAGCGGGCGCCTCGGTCCGCGGCATGGCATGGCTCGCCGTGTCGGGTGTCGCCCCATAAGGCCCGGCCGGTGCGGTGCGGTGCGTGAGCAAATAAGCCCGGGGCATCGCCACTCGGCGTAAGATTTGCATCGTAAATACTGCATCTCAAGGTACGATCAACAAGAGTCCAGAACACATCACAATCGACGTGTGGCAGCAACGCGGATCCCCACCTCTCATATGTAGCTCCACGTATGGATGTAGCATTCCATGCCCCCCAAATAGAGGCTTGTCAAGCGCTGACTCAACCCACAGGCCAAAAGATCGCGTGTGAGACCAAATGATGCATGCGGTTCACGTCACACAAGGGGGGGGGCATCACCACTTCATGACATGATTGGCCGCGGCGTTCTGCTGCCAATCGAAGCCCGCCTTCTCGAACGATGCTGCCCACGCTACCCCCGATCCCCCCCGGAAGCGAAGTGCAGGGCCAAGCAAGACGTTACGCCTGTTGGAGACACGGGCCCTGTCGCTGTCGCTGTCTCTGGCTCTGTCTCTGGCTGCCTGTTGTTGCGGTGCGGTGCGGTGCGCCTTTTGCCTGCAGTCAGCCCAAGTGCGCGCGCGCGCCGCTCCCTAGTTTCCGGTTTCCCCAATTCCAGACCCAGCCCTGTGGGCGTTTCTCGTCTCTCCCTTCTTTTAATCAAGTCTGGGGTCTGTTGATCTGATCTGCCGGGGTGGAAGGGTAGAGCAAGGCCAGGCAGCATCATTGCAGAGCATGCTTAAACACCCAACCAAACTCCTTCATTTGCCCTGTCCTGCGTGCCTGAACACCATCACACGTCCACAGCTCTGCCTGCTTCCTGCACCAGATTTCCCCTTCTTTAAAGTCTGATATCTGACCTGATCTTATCGCGGGTTGCGCCCTGGGCAAAGCAGATAAGGAAGCAAAACCACAAGAAGAAAACAAACCATGTCCGATACCGCCATCTTCCCCGTCAGCAGCGGCCCCCTCCTCTCGCGGCGAACCCAAAACCATGGACCCGGCGGCGCGATAACGTCAGCCGACATCTTCGAGACGGGGCTGCTGGGCAGCTACCCGTTGCTGTCATCATTTGAATTAATCCCAGCCTCGCCGCCCATGGTGATGGACCAACAGCAACAACAGCCGACAACAGTCACCCCTCCGTCGTCCTCAAGCAGCCCGGCCGCGGAGGGAGACAGGCAGCAGCAAACCCTCCTCAGCCTGCCGCTCCCACATACACCGCCAAAGACCCCGCCACAGGTCCTCATCAACCACCAGCTCCCGATCGCAGTCCACGTCCCGCAACCACCGCCCGCGAAGAAGAAGCGCGCAAGCAAACCGAAAGTCAGATCAGGCTGCATCACCTGCAAGATCCGCCGCGTCAAGTGCGACGAGGGCAAGCCGACCTGCACCCGCTGCGCCAAGGCCGACATCAAGTGCGACGGCTACGTCAAAGACGCTGCCGAGCAGAAGCGCGCCGCCGAGCGGGACGCCGTCATCCGCGCCGCGCAGAGGAACAAGGTCCTCCTGCCCCGGCCGGCAGCAGATTCTAGCTCCGCCTCCGTAACCCCGGGGGCGGTGCTCGTCCGGGCGAACCCGGGTGTGGTGCAGATCGACACCGCCGATGTGAGCTACTACGACCTCTTCCGCCACCAGCTCGTCCGCGACCTGGCCGGGTCCACGCACTCCGACTTCTGGTCGCGCATCGTCATGGCCGAGAGCGCGCGCGACCCGTGCGTGAAAGAGTCGGTCCTCGCCATCGGCGCGATCGCGCAGACGCTGTTCTTCCGCACCGCGCGGGGCAACACGCTCGGCAGCACGCAGCCGCCGGGGATGAAGCCGTGGGGCGGCGGCGGCGGCGGCGCGGAGATGCTGCAGGCGGGCGCGGCCGGGTTCCTCGACCACCACCACAAGGCGGCGCTGCAGCACCATCTGCGCGCGGTGTCGGTGTACAGGCAGCGGATCCAGATGGGCACGGCGGGGTCGTCGCCGCGGTCGGTGATCATCATGACGCTGCTGCTGATCGCGTTCGAGTTCATCCAGGGGAACATGAAGAGCGTCGACTCGCTGATGGGCACGGGGATGCGGCTGATCGAGGACGCGAGCACGCTGATGAAGAGGCGATCTGCTTCACGGGACAGCGAGGAGCCGGCGGCCCAGGTGAGGGTAGCAGCCCCGCCCCGCGAGGACGAGATGGACGACATCGAGCACCTGCTGCCATGCCTCTCCCTCATGTCGGGCTTCACGCACTTCTTCAACTCGCACCGCGCGACCATCTCGCGCATGAACAGCACACCCGCCCCGGAGCTGCCGCAGCCGGGGGTTACCCCCGTGGCCAAGATGCAGGTTCTCTGGGGCAAGTTCTTCACGCGCGCGGTGGCGTACACGATGCGCTGGATGCACACGCAGATGAAGCACCTCCCGCCGCCGGCGGACGCGGCCCGCGAGAGGGGGCAGTTTCTGTCGTATCTGCGGCTGTGGCAGGCTATCCTGGAGACGTACCTCGCGGACCCGGGGTTAGAGGCGCAGACGCGGCGCGCGCTGGAGATGATAAGGATACACCGGCTGATCATGTACGTCCTGGTGAGCGCGAGTCTGGACAGTAGCGACATGGCGTTCGACGCGCACGAGGAGGACTTCCGCGAGATGCTGCGGCTGACGCTGCGCTTCATGCGCGCCGACACGCCCGAGGAGCAGTTCCCGCTCTCGCGGATCGCGTTCACCTTCGCGGAGGGCCTGACGACCCCTCTAACCACCATCATCGCCAAGTGCCGCAACCACGATTTGAGAATGCAGGCGGCGGGCTTGATGCGCGCGCTGTCGTGGCGCGACGGGGCGTGGGATGGGAAGGCGCTGGCGGTGGGCAAGCTGGGCGTGGTGATGCTGGAGGAGCGCGGTATGGATATGGAGGGGAGGATTCCGGCGGCGGCGCGGTGGGTGTGGACGGATGCGAAGTGGGATCTGGAGAGGCGGGAGGTGGTGGCGACGTATGTGAGGCTGGCGCCGGGGGAGGGCGGGCAGGTTGTGAGTGCGCATTTGGTGCTGGATATTGATAATCCGCCTGGTGCGTGTGGGTTGGTTGGGTGTGGTGGGGGGCATGACCTGTTTGAGGATCCTGGGATGGGGATGGAATTGTGAGGGGTGAAGCGGAAGATGGTGAGGTTGGTTCAAGATGCCCTCGCCATGGCGTAGGGATGATGACGGTGATCATCGCGAGGCTTGTGGTGGCTTGATTCTTGCATTTTAGGGGCCAAATTGTTTGGGAAAGAAAAATCGTATAGGTAATCATCAGCCCCCTGCATCGTCAATTCGGAAATGAGTTTCTGTAACTGCTCTCTGTTCCCCTCTTGCTGAAGACGGCATCTTGAAAAAGGCCTTCCTGTATGGGGATGGCGCGGCCTGTCTGTCTGCAACCTGGGACCAGCACGGCATCAAGAGCTGCCAGTTTGCCTTGGCAACTTGGCAAATGCTTAACCGTCGGAGAAGAGGCCAATGCCAAGACTGAGGCTGCTGAAGAAATGGCGACTTCATGTGTCGTATTTGAGCCGATGAGCGTGATCAGTTGCCGCAATGTTGTCATCTTTGAAGAAGAAAGAGTATCCAAAACTTGTAGTTGTGAGGCCTCAACGGTGAGAAGTTGTCATCGCGGCAGCACCTTCACGGAACAAGTGATCACTCAAGTTAGGCGAGGCAATCCTCGACGACTACAAGAAAGCACCTGCGAGAAAGAATAGCCGGAGTAGATGACTCTGCCTCTCAGCGATGTGACAGTCTAACCCTATTAGCGACCATCTTCATTCATTCGGGAAGGTCAGTAAACTCTTGTTCTCGTCGTACATCAACAGCGCGCCCTACGGCTTCCGTCACCCGTCTCCGCACAGCGGGCCAGGGTCTCAAGTCCAACCAGCGAAGCGAGAGCTTTTGCCAATTAAGCACATCGATAAGCATCCGATTCCCGTCTTCGCCCAGCAAATTCCCATTCCGCCAAGTCTCTCAACCGCCGATTATCGGCATTGACATGCAATGAAAACACTCTGAGCGTTGCTCAAAGTCCATGTCATAAGTTAACTCGTGCCACTTAATGTTCAATGCACCCCCAGTCGCCCCGGCGTCTAGACCCGGCATATGAGATCGGATTAGGAAGGTCGCGCTACCGACCCGCCTCGAATTGATTGGAGACGACATCGGAACAACTCAACAACTGCCAACGGAGGGGAATGCATCTTTGCCCAGACGCCTAAAGTGCCGCGGTGCCGTGCTCGTGGGACAATGTGTACAGAGGAATCGGTATGTTGATGGCAGCATGTTGTCAGCAAGCTGCATTCATCTGAGCTGTCAATGGTAACCTAGAAGCTGAAGGTGGTGCTCGCGAGCATTACCAGACGACAGAACTCACACTCCGTCTCACCACTGACGATGCCGAAAAAGGCATGTCGATAGTATTACGGGGTCTGCTTTTCGACAAAACAACGCCTCCCGGAGCTCGCTTTTCTCAACGGTCTAGTCTACCCCGCAGAGAATGTGACGCTAGTAACGCTACTTGGCCGGATATCGATCGACGACTTAAGCTTCCCGCCGTCTTCTCTTGTTTCAACCCCTGAACAAGTGCTTGATCCAGACACATATCCGTTGCGCGGGTACGTGCTTGAATACGAGTGATATGTCAACCAGTTAGATGTCGAGTAGTTCCGTGTATTCATCAAGCTATTCTCTCTCAAGAGCCGGGGGATGAAGTCTTTCCCGTCGGGCTTCCAAACGTAGATTAAGGTAGGGCGCTATTCAGCCTCCATCATCACATCACCCCATGGGCGATGCAACTGCCTTCCCTCTGAGGCAGAAGGCTCGTTTATTCCGTCCCCAGTAGCTGTTCTGACATCTTCTCACCAGATGCCTATCTGATTCTAGTGTCTCTCTAGAGTCACGATGATGGCAGACGGACCCGGAGTCCGCCGTGCTCCTGATTGCTCATCACATATCCCCACGCTCGTAGTGGCTAGCTCCTCGACCTTGTTCTCGTTTAGCTCAAGGTTCGGCTAATCCTGCATCACCTTAATCACTCCCTCGGGCGCGTCTGGCGATATGAGGTGTGGAGAAAAAGTCCCCGGTGCGGCGACATGCCAAGAGCTTTAATCCCACGTCCTTTCCCCAGATTGCACACAACATCTCAACCGCGCAGTCTGGACCTCTCTGTCACTGCGTTTCTTTCGGCACCCAAAGATCGAGTTTCTCTCTTGGCTCTTTCTTGGCGAACACGAACCCCCGTCCATCATCGCTTGTCGCATCCATCAGCTTTCGATGCCTTCCTCATCCTCGCAATGCCTCCGGCACTCGCTGCATTAGGCTCGCCTGGGCCCCTCATATCCGCAGAAGAAATATAGACGCCCACGCTTCGCACATTCCTCATTCGTCGCACCTCCCGTCTTGGCAGACGTCGATTCGAGTTATTTCGCTGGGGCGGGGTGTGGTGCTGGCTATCGAGTTGTCGACATGCGTCGGTTGAGGCACAAACGATAGAAAAACACCAGAAACATTGGCATCGCGACAAGTATATATATCGCGTCTGAGAACCTTGATGGCCAGTAATCCAGAGAACCTCACTCCCTCATCCCGCCAACGGTCTCCGCTCAGTCACCCCAATCCAGCTTTCTCTCTGGTCTTTCTGTTTTTCTCGGTTTTCTGCCCAAGCACTCCGCGACAATGAAGTTCCTCACCGGTCTCTCCTGCTTCGCCGCGCTCGCCAGCGCCGTGGTCGTCGACCTCAACAAGCGCGATAGCCCCCTCGACGTCAAGATCGAGGCCGTCGGCAACTCCGGCGTCAAGGCCAGCATCACTAACACTGGCGCTTCCGACCTGAAGGTCTTCAAGACCGGCTCCATCCTCGACAAGCTCGCCGTCGAGAAGGCCGAGGTCTTTGCCGGCTGTGAGTCGCTCGCGCCTTCCTCCCCTTCTGAAGACCGCATACTGACACACGAAAACCAGCCGAGAAGGTCGCCTTCGACGGCATCCGCCTCCGCCTCCAGACCGCCGGCCTCGCCGAGGACGCCTTCGAGGTCATCCCCGCCGGCCAGACCGTCTCCGTCGAGTGGGACGTTGCCGAGGTGCACGACCTCTCCGCCGGCGGCACCTTCGACGTCGCGGCCAAGGGCTCCTTCTCCTACGCGGACGCGGACTCGACCGACATCGCCGGTACCGCTCCCTTCGCGTCCAACGTGCTCTCCGTCGCCGTCGACGGCGCCGCCGCCGCCAAGGTCCGCCGCGACTTCCACGAGCACGTCAAGCGCACCGTCGTCCAGAGCGACTGCACCGGCACCCAGCGCACCGCGACCACCAACGCGCTGAGCAACTGCCGCTCCCTCGCTGCTGCCGCTTCCTCTGCTGCCGTTTCGGGCTCCGCGGCCAAGATGACCGAGTACTTCAAGTCCAGCACGACTGCTACCCGTAACACTGTCGCTGGTGTCTTTGCCAAGGTCGCTAGCGAGTGCGGCTCGACCACTTCCGGTGTCTCTCGCCAGTACTGCACGGATATCTACCCTGCCTGCTCTTCGGGTGTCATCGCCTACACGCTGCCCAGCCAGAGCTACATGGTCAACTGCCCGACTTTCTTCACCATGACTGCGCTGTCCCGCACCTGCCACGCCCAGGACCAGGTACGTTTTTGCTGTGATGCGCGATCGGGATTTTGCTGACAGAAGTGTAGGCCACCACCGCCGTCCACGAGGTTACCCACCTGTCCCAGATCAAGGGAACCACCGACCAGTCTTCCTGCTACGGATACTCTTGCGTCCAGAGCTTGACCGCTGCGCAGAACCTCAACCACGCCGACACCGTAAGGTTTCTCCGACCACTGGCGGGCAACATTCATGCTGACATTTTCACAGTACTCTCTCTTCGCCAACGCCATCTACGTCGGCTGCTAAGCGCGGATTCTCGAGAAGGGATTCCAGAGCACTGGATCTACCACCTGGAGCTTGAAAAGAGGAGCGGATACGAGAGAGCCGGACATTCTGGCTTAGCGATGTTGATGACTGGATGTGAATGACTGAACTGGGAGAGGGAAGCTGTTTTTGTTCTTGTGTATAGGTTCTGGAGCAGCTTCGGCTGCACCACCTGTGAATACAAACCTGATGTTGATGTGAAAGAACTCAAGTTCGGACCGCGGTGATGGGAGAGATGCCGAGGTTAAAATGGTGGATTATGCTGGTCCCGGGCCCCGTTAAATGCCTCCCGGCTTGAGGTTGTTGCGGGGGATCTGCATGAGCCCCCTCGGATTAGTAATAAGCCGGTATGAGAATGCCGGGGCCAGCTGTCACCTCGACTTCACCATCATCATGTCTTGTTGTCTGGACTTGACTTAAGTAAACGACGGGGCAGAAAGACATTGTCTGTAGAATTTCCCCGGAACATACACATCATGTCATCTTTCGAAGACTTTATAGACTCAGCAGTGCGGAATGCCGATATCCCGGGAGTTATGCTCTATGCTAGGGACAAGTCGGGTGAGTCTTCTCATGATCTGAGCGACCGAATCTTCTCACTTATGCATCATATCTGCAGGAGATTTCAAGTACTCTCACGTCTTTGGCGACAACTTGAAGACCGGCAAGCCCCTAGCCGCCGACGACGTCCTCACCCTCGCCTCGGTGACAAAACTCCTCACCACCATCGCAGCCCTCCAGCTCGTCGAGCGCGGCATCCTCGCCCTCGACGACAGCGACGTTTCCCACCACGTCCCGGCACTCGCCCAGAAGCCCATCCTAACTGGCTTCTCCGACTCCGGCGCCCCCATCGAGGTCCCGCGCCAGCAGCCCATCACCCTCCGCCACCTCCTCACCCACAGCGCCGGCAACAGCTACGACTTCCTCGACTCCGCGACGCGCGAGTGGCAGTCTCACCACGGGATCAAGCCCACGCGCGGCGCCACCGTCGAGGAGCGCTTCGCGTACCCGCTCATCTACGAGCCCGGCGCCAGCTGGGCGTACAGCTCGAGCTCCGACTGGCTGGGCAAAGTGATCGAGGCTGTTACAGGGCAGAGCCTGGAGGATTACATGCGCGCGCACATCTGGGACCCCCTCGGCGCAGAGAGCTTCACGTTTAGAGTGGAGAAGGTCAGGCCGCGGCTGTGGGGGATGAACACGCGCGACAGAGAAACAGGAAAAGTGAAGCTGCACCGGGGCAGGGAGCTGAACGACGGCGTGACGGACTGTTTGGGCGGGCAGGGAGTGTATGGTACCGCGGGGGACGTGATGGAAGTGTTGGAGTCGTTGCTTCTGGATGACGGGAAGCTGCTGAGGCCGGGGACGACGGCGGAGATGTTTAAGCCACAATTGGGGGAGAAGGCGAAGACGAGTTTGTTGGAGGCGATGGAGACGCCAGAATGGGCTGTTGGTCACTTTCCTGTCACGGGCGAGTATGATTGGGGACTGGGTGGGTTGCTGGTCGACGGGGAGAAGCATCCGAATAGGAGGTATGGGACGCTGATTTGGAGTGGCGCGTCCAATGTGTTTTGGGTATTTGACAAAATCCTCGCCATGGATCATGAGAGAAATGCTGACCTTTTACAGTGGATTGATCGAACTACGGGACTGTGTGGCTTTTTTGCGACACAGATGTTGCCGGCGGCTGAGGAAAATGTCAGGCCTTTCATCAAGGCTTTTGAAGATGAGATGTACGCTCGATTGAGGAGGTCGAAACCCCGTGCGGCACTCTGAAGGGACATGATGTTCGTTGCGGAGTTTGCTACACGTTCAGGCAAAGGATATGTTAGAAAGTAACATCTAGACTTCAGCAAAAATAGAATGCAAATATTCGGTCCTTTTGGGAAGGCTGAAGCTGCATGCGTTGGCAAGCTGAATAATGCGACAGGATCACCATTTGACTTTCGTTTCTTGTGAAGGATGGTTTGGTTGATTTCAAAGCAAACGGATAAATCGAACATGAGCGAGCTTGGCAACATTCGCAGTCGTCAGACAGTTGATGTGTAAGCGGCGAAGGATAGAATAGAAAACCATCATATATCGTGGTCGAAATTCCTGAGGTGAGCTAAGGATGGCGGGTCCCGCCCATAGTTATAACATGGGGTTCGGACGGCTTTTCCCTTGTTAGCCTGAAGAGGCAAGTTACAACGCTTTTTCATTCACTTGGCCAATGGAACAATCGCCATGCCGCCCGAGCTAGATTGAAACGTAAACAACCTTTCAACTTCACCACACCGGTGAACCTCATCTTCTATGGCTCACCGGTAACTTAGGACAATGGCGATACTCACAGTGACTTGGATCCTCGCGCGGGGGGTTGTCTGGCCTACCTCGTATGCCCTGATGGACTAGCCTTTTCGTCTGGGCAGATCATTTCTCAGCTCCATGTACAGCGTGGGGGTGCACACCACCGAGAGACTAGTGTGACCCAAGAACTCAGCTTTACTAAACAAATAATCATGGGGAAAACACGTTAGCTTTTCCCTTGCCTAGTTGGTGTTCATTTGACTGCAACACGAGTACGGGACACAACGAAGCAGCAGGTGCTTTATCCCACTATCACTGATCGGTCTGAAAAGAAAGTTGCCTGCCCTTTGATTACTACCCTAATTGCAATGTAGATATTAGCTTGGTCTGAGGAATGAATTGGATGTGTGTCTGAGTTTGCTTAGAATACGGTATACGGTCTAAGGACCTGACCCTTCATCCCAAAACAGAAGGTAAACGTCCACAGCGGACATCATCCGGCGGGCAAGACCAGAGCTTTCAGCAAAGAACAAATCTGCACCGCCGATTTGCCAAGATTACCCTTCTTCTCTCGAGTCAACCGCCCTGGCGGCGGCAATCCAGGGTAGGACGATCCGCCAAGATCTCAGCCGGCATTGCCAGCGGCCTAGGCCGATTTGACATCAACACCCCCCGGCCGCTCGGAGCAGTCGATCGTCCCGTCTTCATTGGGTCGGAAACCAAAATGGAGTATCAACACCGCTGCGAGAGATGGATCCTCCCCTGGACGTCGCCATTCAAGGTGGACATTGGGAGCCTTGTCATCATGGAAAGCGTCGATAAGGGGGGCCATACTTTCTTTTCGTCCGGACCTTTATGGCTTCGCTTGGGTGAGCAATGTTGTCTAATCAATGCTAGCCCCTGGGCGGGCAGGAGCACGACTTGATGGGGCCATCAGAGTCGGCAATCTAGGGACGCTTCTGCGTTGTCATGCTTATCAACCTTGCGTCTATCGTGTGCTTCCATCAGGAAGCTCAGATGATGTTCCTTGCAAGATACCAAGGACCCCTAGGATATAAAACAAACACGTGCAGGACTAGGCGGCAGGATTTTACCTCCCGGTATTCTGCAATCGCTTCCGCGCGCGCTTCTTTTTTCAGCAACCTTGTCAACCCACCGGCGGTGTCCAGTTGTTCTGTGGACACACATATCGAAGAAGAAGAAAAAAGCAAGGAGGAGTGCCATCGCCAAGCAAGACGTCATCAAAGAAGTCCAGTTGACCTCGGGATGTGGGAGGCGCATTCTGTGGTAGAGTAGCAATGCCCAGTTTCTTTAACTGGAGCCCGGTAGGCCTTTTTCATAAGGGGCAAGTCGCACTGGGCCTTTGCGCTGAGCGGGTTTCGTGACTCGCGAGCGGCTCCATTCCTCCCACATCCCGTGCCGACTTCACGCGGCGCGGCGCACCGGGGCCGGAACACGGTCCTTGTGGGTCGGCTGAGCTCCATAGGGGTGGCTCCGGTCTGGGCCTCGAGGAACCAATTGACGAAACATTTCGAACGCATTTCTCATCATGGAGGTTGGATGGATCTGGCTTGCATTTCGAAATCTGCGTAGGGTTGCATCTGGTTAATCAAAAGGGGGCAATTCTTGTTGTTTCCAGCATCGTGTAAACATGGGGGTTCAAGACAAGGGATGATGGGATCCATGCCCGTCGCGACGTGAGTATCAACCATGGCGACGGCAGAATGGTCTTTTTCGTAGCTGCTTCAGTGAGGAGGACAGAGTAGATAAAGCCTACGGGCCTTCTCTCGAAATGCTCTTCTTGTGTCTTCTCTCCATCGCAGATCGCCCTCGTTCCCCAATCTCTTCAGTCACTCTTTCTCGAGCATCCACTCTTTCGCTATGAAGCTCAGCTCTTTTCTGGCCACCGGCCTCCTGACGGCCTCCGCCCTGGCCCACAACGAGATCCTCTCCCGCTCCGAGATCTCTCGTCGCGATGCCATGGCGAAGCGCTGCGCTGGGCAGACTGCCCAGTTCCACAAGAAGAGACAGGCCAAGCGCATGGCCAAGCGCGCGGCCGAGTTGGAGGCGCGCGCTGGCAACTCCAGTGTCGTGATCAACACTGAGGGTGTCTACTACGACAGCAGTAAGTCAAGACATATCTTCCTGAGAGCGTACAAAGACAATGGCGACTGACCTTTATCACAGTCCAGAACAACACCTGCGTCCTGACCCCTGAGGTCACCGAGGGCCCCTACGTCTGGCCTCGCTCGCAGACTCTGCGCATGGACATGACTGAGGGCGAGGTCGGCGTCCCCCTGACGCTCGATGTCGGCATCCTCGACATGGCCACCTGCGAGCCACTCCCTGATGCTCTCGTCTCGTTCTGGCACTGCAACGCGACCGGCAGCTACTCGTCATTCACGCACCTGAGCCCGAACACGCGGTTCGAGGAGCTTCTCAACCAGTTGAACATTACCGACTTCGAGATCGGCGTCACTGACCTCCACACCGACGACACCACCTTCCTCAGAGGCATGTGGCCCACCAACTCCGAGGGCATTATGGAGATGCAGACCATCTTCCCCGGCTTCTACGTCGAGCGTGCTATCCATATCCACACCCAGGTCTTCACTGACTGTACGTGCACCTGCCCCTTCTCTTCCTTCCCTCTGAACCTTGTTCATATCCATACTTACACCCAACGCTCTAGGGTCCGTCCGCGCCAACGGCACCGTCAGCTCCGGCAACCTCATCAACACCGGCCAGATCTACTTCGACGAGGACGTCTCCGCTCAGATCATGGCCCTTGAGCCCTACGTCTCTCACACTCAGATCAACCGCACCAAAAACGTCGAGGACTCTCAGAGCCTGTTCGACCAGAGCACGATCGGCGGCTACAGCCCCATCATCGAGGTCGTTCCCTTGGACGGCGAGAACATCGAGAACGGAATGGTCGGCTACATTACCATGGGTGTCGACACTTCTGCTCTGGAGAGCTAAGCATTGCAACCTGGAATATGGTGAGAATGCTGCGAATAGGGCTGAGATAGAAAAAACACATTGGTTAGTAGTATGTCAGTGATGGTGAAAATAGATGGAGATGACAAGATGTGATTGAAATCATCTCTCGCTGCAAGTGTGTATGTTTCACTCGGTTCGCGTAATGAACATGGTTGTTCCATACTCAGTGTCTTGTTAATTTGACTTCCGGGCCCATCCGGAACTTTCGTGGTAGGGAATTTCTCCCGCGGGACGCCGACGGTAGTTTTTAGTGGGGCCGTCGGAGCCCGAAAGCCTAATATATTACGGCATCTCAGTGTGAAGCAAGCGCTAACACATCGGAGAATTACTGTTCGCTTCACTTATTGCGAGTCAGCACAGTCATGTTAATCCAGAAAGCTCATAAGCTCGCTCGGATTGATCGTGATGATTCGGACCCGAGGCGTGGTGAGAAGGAGCCAGATGCATGCTTACGAGAGATGCCTAAAAATCCCAGCGTGGCTGTGATTCGCTGATCCCTAACCCAATTAGACTTACTGTTGCCTAGAGAGGAGCAGAGCTGAGAGAACAGATGACCACGTCAACTCATTCGAAATGACAATGTATTCAAAAGGGCGATTACATCACGTCAACTAACAATGGTCTTGACAAAATATCATCTGAATAAAGACAATCACAAGATGGCTGACGCAAACTCTCCAGCCAACCAGCCGGTGGATCCCCCGGACCTGGACCCTGACAGCTATGAGCTCCAAATCGCCTTGGACCAGCTGTCCGCCGGCAACACGGAAGCCCTCAAGATATACCTCGCACGCAAGGAGGGTGTTGATCCCAACACCGTCTCTCTCAGATCAACGCCATGGTCTGCGAACGAACACGAGAACAGCAAGTACTCCTTCATCGGCAAGATGGATGACGTGCGTCCGCCGGGCGAAGATGACGCGACCTTGAAGCAAGCCCCTCGGGTGATCTTCGAAGACAGTGCGGTTGGGTTCGAATACACGCCACTCGACCCGGAGAAGCGCCAGTTCCGGCTTCTCAGGCTTGCACCTCCATCAGAGGATGGCGTCGTCAGTCAGCTTCAACTCGAAACATTCAGCCTCGATGAAGCGCCGCCATACTTCTGCCTCTCATACGTTTGGGGAGACCCCAAGAGATTCATTGGCGTCAACTGCAACGGAAAGATGATAACCGTCACGGGGAACCTTTTCCATGCGATACAGACTTGCCTCAACCGGCACCCGGACGCGTGGCTTTGGGCGGATGGTATTTGCATCAACCAAGACGACCTGGCCGAGCGGAGTTCTCAGGTCCTCTTTATGGGAGCGATATATCGAAATGCGTCGATGATTCTTGCTCATCCGGGCCATTACAAGTACGCCCTGGTTGAGGCCGAGACGAATGCTGAAGATGAAACAGATACCTTGGATGATCGCATGGGCGGCTTGGGAGTTCAGGACATGATGAGTTTTGGTGTCGGTGACGATGCCGGGGCGGAAAAGGCCATTGACCCGGAAATATCCCAAAAGCCTGGAGACTGGCGAGGAACTACCGAGGACGACGCGTATAGCTCCGAGAATGCACAGGGCGCGATCAGCATCATGACCTTTCTCACACGTATATGGTCCAACAACACTCGGCAAAAGGTTCAATCCGACAAGGACTGGGAGAAGGTCAACTTGCCTGATCCCAAGACCGAGGAGGGCCAACAAGTTTGGAATAATCTGATGGACTTCTGGAACCAAGACTGGTACTTCCGCACTTGGGTTCTTCAGGAAGTTGTGCTGGCGAAGAAGGTTGTGGTGTTATACGACACTACAGCCATCAGCCTCGAAGCCATCACGGACTTTTGGGATATGGCCAGAAGCCATGGTTTGCCTCGCACGCTCCGACTTGGTCCTTATGCAGACACCTTCAACAAGGTGATGCACCTTAGTCCCGCGAGCTCTTTTAAGGTACTCAGGGACCAGCGTCATGGACAAGACAAGGAAGCCGATGAAAGTTCCTCGCAGGAGGTCATTCCAACTGAGCCGACGATATTTGAGCTTCTGTGTCTTTCCAGGAATAATCTGGCAACGGACGCAAGGGACAAGGTGTACGGTCTGCTTGGTCTGGCCGACGACGCTGTCGCCCAGTCCATCATCCCCGACTACTCACCGGAAAATACCGCATTGAAGGTCTTTACCGAGGTAGCTACCGAAATTGCAAATACTGAACGGGTTGTCGACCTTCTGCATCACGCCGGGATCGATCAAGACCTTCCCGACCTTCCTTCATGGGTCCCGGACTGGACGAAGCAGTCTCGCTCAACCCTCCAGAGTCACTTGTACCAGTGCATGGGGCAGTCGACACCCAAGGTCTCTGTTCTAGAGGCCAGGGACAAGCCAAAGATGACGGTCCGAGGAACCGTTATTTCGCGTGTCAATACGGTGGGAGGAGCATGGAAGTACTACTCACACGACAATTCTGCACTGACGTTTGGCGGCTTCGAATTCGCTCCCGAAATGGACCTGCCTTCCTTCAACGATGAGGATGCTCGGAACTTCATTTTGACCCTCGCAACAAACTTGCTCGAAGATGTGGCGGAGCGGTACGCTGAGGAAGGCGCCGATGACGCATTAGTTCGCACCCTGGCGGCTGACTGCTCCTGGCAGAGTGAGAGGATCGGGCGGAGAGCGGTACAGGGAGATGGAGAAGACGCCAAATCATCCTTGACCGAAGAGGTCACAAAAGACCAAGCGGAAACCTCTGCTTCGGACGAATTCTTTGACGCTGTCGCGGCGTTCAAGCGGTTCTACGCCCGAGGTCCAGACTCACCAGAGAACTTGACCGCCCCCGGGATTCGGGCTCACCAGAGCGGGATATTCGTGTGGCTCCTAGAATTTGACGAGGATGTTGAGGCTGATCTTCAAAGGCGAATGATACCCTACACAGTCCCCTTCCAAGAAGTCCAGAAAGGCCGACGTTTTGCCATTCTCGGAACAAGATGTCTCAAAAAGCCAGAGGCCGAGCAAGAAGGTGGGAAGCCGGAGAAAAAATGGTCCAAGAGGAAGGCACACTACGCTACTGAGGATTTGGAGCACCACTTCATGTCAACTCTGCCGTGGAACGCAGAGATTGAGGACTACATTGTCCTTCTCGAAGGTTTCAGAACTCCGTTCGTGCTGAGGAAGACCAAGACAGAAAGTGGAGCTGGACAAGTGGAGGAGTACAAGGTTGTTGGGGACTGCTATGTTCACGGAGTAATGGATGGTGAGCTGCTGCGTTGGGCGGACGAGGTGGACGAGAAGCTTGAGTCGGAGTATTTCAGCACGGATAGTGAGGGGCAGAGGTATGCTGTACAGGCACCACAAGGGTTCGTCCCTTTCGCAGACTTTACTCTTGTCTAAGGAGGAAGAAAAGGTTTGGTGGGTTTTCCCTTCGGACAAAAATGTGTGACTACATGTATCTTTTGATAGATCTTCTCTCAGAACCTAGAAAGACAAATCCCTCTCATGTGCATAAGGCAAAATGGTGATTTCGGGTGTCTTCCAGATATCCCAGCTACCCGACTCCGAAGGTTCACTAAAGGGGGTAAGAGTTGCGAAGCGCATGCTATCGAATAGTGTTAGAAACTTCTTTGGCGAAAGGTAAAGAGGAACGCACGTGTAGTTTCCTGCACCAATGTAGCTGCCGTTTGCCAACTTTCCAAGCCACCAGAAGCGATCAGTCAACTCACTCCATGATGTGGTGCGCTCAATTCCCCGGATGGGGAAGGGCAGCACCTTGTCTCTGTCCATCGTCGCTGGATCAAAAGTGCTCGCACCAACGGAGTATGTCGAATATGTGGCGGAGCCAATGTACCCATCCTGGCCTACTACCGGCGGGTACTTCCATTGACTCTCCTCAAATGTATCATCAAATATCTGAATCAAAATGAGTATTCTAATTTCCAAATTGAGACATGGTAGAGACTTACATCCCAACGCAGCTCCTTTGTTCCCCACTTGAACTGGACGTGAATCTTTGGAAAGTCCTGAGCAGCCCGGCTGGTGTTGAATGCGTAACTAGCCATTTGTCAGCTTTGGTGATCACAAGTCGCCGATACGATGTTCACTCACGTATGATACGCCTCAATACCCAGGCTGCTGGGGCCGGATCTCTGCAAAGGATAGCCGTCTGGAAACATTTTCTCGGTCATTTGAGCTTTGAGGTCAAATGCGGCACCTTATGAATCGTGTGAGTTTGGTGACAGCGCACAATGTGTCACAATAATTCTCACCAAGATACGGAACTGAGAGAGCGTCTCCGTTTCCGCTAGATATGATGACCTTGCCACTGTAAATAGGCAGTTTGGACTCGTCGTCAACTTGGGGATATTTGAAGCTGAATCTGAGGAGCTGTTAGTTGACATTAGGGAATTTCTTTGTCTCACACCTACTCAGCTGTTCTTGTCTCTCCAGGATTGACGATGAAAGTATCAGTGGATAGTGCAACGTCCGGGACAAGCTCAATAGGCTTGACGTCAAGCACATCTGCAAGCATCTGAGAAGTCCTGCCTTGCGCATTGAACCCTCCTGCTGGTTCCACAGCGAATGTATAGCCCACAGGATCATCGCCATTGTTAGTGATGTCAACCTTGTGACTGCCTATGAATGTTCTCGTATCATTGAGTGCCATCTTCTCAAACGACAGCGAAGTCGTTGACTCCAACAACTTCGTGGCATTGATGAGGCCAGTGCCAACTTGCGCGACAGGTGCGAAAAAGCCAAAGTCGGTTGGTAATGCTTGAGGCACAATGGCTTGCCACGGAAGAGACTCCCCACAGGAGATAATGCGCCTTGAGAGATCCTTGGCAAATCCCTTCCCATGTACTGAGCGGCCCCCATGCTTGCCTATGTAGAGCGCAGCGACGCCTGCCACGTAGGGTGTAGCCATACTCGTCCCTGAAAGGACTTTCCAAGTCTTGTTGAGATAGGTGCTGTAGATGCTGGCACCAGGAGCGGCAATATCGGGTTTTATCTCCAGCTCGTAGGTGCCGCCCCAGCTGGAATACTGTGAAGGGATCCCACCAGCAGCATCGAAGAATCCAACTGCCCAGTTGGGATCTGCAGGGTTGGTGAAGTCTGCAGTCACGTTGCCGCCGGCCTTGACTGTTTCGATGATAGCTGCACCGGCTTTGGCGTCAATGAGGGCCATTTGTGATTTGTATGCAGAGTTGGCGACCAGCTCAAATGGTCGGTAGTCGTCGTTGTAGATGAGCATGTACTGTGCGCCGAACTTCTCAACGTTCGTCTGCTTCACATACTGAGTGCAGCCTCCTCGTCTGACGAGGACAACAACGTTGGAGAGATCTGGCGTTGTTTCTGGCAGTGTGTTACAAGCTTCAGCTGATGCCTTGGTGTCGAAAGACAGGGGCACAATGGGTAGACCGGTAACGTTCCACAGTGGTCTGTTGACGGGTGGGATATAAGCCAGCTGCGTCGTGTTGGAAACACCCTCAGCGCTGAAGGTTGCATGCCACGGCTTGGCAGGTACTCGGCTCGTGTCAGCGGAGGCAACGGCTAGAACCTCTTTTCCTGACGAACCGCTGCTCGCGTAGAATGGGCCCTCATCGCCATCGTTGCCGGCGGCGATGGTGACAACGACGCCTTGCTCTACGATTCTAGATGCCACCGTTGCCCAGGGTCCATCTGAAAAGCCAGCTGCGCGCCCGATGCTTGCAGTGATGATATCTGCCTGTGTCCGTCATTGATCAGCGCGAATTCCCATCATACGCGTGAGTGGGAGAATTTACACCTGACTCATAGGCCATGATGGTTGCGTCAATAAGTGTGTCTTCATCGGTACCCTCGAACTGCAACGTCCTTCAGTCAGCGCTATTGGGAAAGGATGCATCGATGTTTCTCACAGCACCAAACACTTTGAAGGCGAGGATTTCGACTTCGGGAGCAACCCCTGCGTAGCTAGAAGAGACGATTGTCAGTATCAAAGATCCGGCACCTCAGAAAACAGACGGTCAAACTCACAACTCGCTCTTTCCAGCAATGATACCGGCAACGTGTGTGCCGTGGCCCAATGAGTCGAGTGGGTCATCATCAGGCACTTTCCCGTTGGAACCATCGTAGTCTGTGGCCGTTAGCAGATTGATCACCACTGAAGAAACCTGTTGGTCACCTTCTCCGACAAGATCATATCCTCCAGAGACCTTGAATCCAGGACCAAACCCACCACCAAGCTAGCGAGCGCAGTCAGATATGATTTGACAACATTTCTCTTCATACACGGAGAACTCACAGCTGGGTGCCGATAGTCGACGCCTGAGTCAATGACAGCAACCTTCGCTCCCTTACCAAAGACACCTGCTTCATGAAGTTTGTCAACCCCAGTAGAGTAGTGTATGGACCAGTTCTGGGCTGTGGCATCGTCGCTGAAAGAAGCCTGCGGCGTGAGAGGTGCGAGCTTGTATGTCTTGACCGGCCATGCTTGCGAGACTTCTCGAAGGCTCTGCAGGGTATCCAAATTGTCATTGCCCGACTCGACGCTCAAACCGGAGAAAACCTCGCTGTTGAAGGACTTGAGGACCGTCGCGCCCGTGGCTTCGATCTTCCGCGATAGGTCGGTGAGTTGGGCGCCCTGAATGTAGCTTGTCAGCGGGGGGCCTTGAGGAGAAGTCTCTACTTCTGACGTACTTGTTCGACTTCAACAATAAACTTCTTGGTTCCAGAGAGAGCGGAACTTTCGTTCTCATCTCTTCTGCGCCCAGTACCGGGGAAAGTAAGAGCGTCGGTTAGCCCCAGGGCCGCTGCCCAGATCAGGAGATCAAATCGCATGATGATGAGACACGAGACGATGAGATCGCCTTCAGGCCATTGCGCGACGAGGCTTGCAAGACTTCGTATTTGAGAAACTCGAAAGAGAACCCGGATAGTACCTAGGAAATGGTTCTCGTGTCCGCATGCGCATTAGCTGTTGATTCCCTGTCGTGTCAACTTCCTGTCGTAGCATTTGAATGCAGCTTCTGGCAGGTTGCAAACCCGCCTTCTAGATTGGGATCATGGCTCTCAGCTATTCCCTGTAGCCAGGGCACACAAGGTCGCAATGAGCGCTGTAATGGTGCCAATCTTCCGCCCGTGGCGCATGGGGTTCATTTAGAGTCCCTGCTAGAGCGGCTTTGCCAAGAGCAAGATGGGTCCAAATAGCGCATATTAACTCAATTGCATGCATTCCTGGTTGAATCCGGTCCCTGACGATCCGGCTCAGTGCGAGTTGACTTTTTTATTCGTACTCCATGGCGAGCCATGGTATCTCAAATATGGCATGTAATTCATGCTCTCTGCAGCCTTAACAGCCCATCAGATTCGGCATCGGACCGCACATTGACCAAAAATGAGTTCACCACTAGAGTCATACAAAATGACGCAAAAAACACAGGATCTCTCCCCGAGGTGGGCTCGAACCACCAACCTCCAGATTAACAGTCTGACGCGCTAGCCAATTGTGCCATCGGGGAATCGCAGGATTTCTGGTTGAAGGCATCGCGATGGCAAGTGGATTATGCGGCGGAGTCAGTGTGGTTGTGGGACAGTCCAAGCCCTATGTAGAAGCGAAAGGTGCTTGATGAAATTGTGGAACCGATCCTTGATGAAGATGCCGTAAGTGCAGTTTGAGAACTGGTTTTAAGAATCCAGCGAGCCGCTTGAAAGGGGCGACATTGTTCGTCTGCTGAAAGACTCGCAAGATTTGGCTCTTTCGAAGATATTCGTCGTGGCCAGCACCGTAGTACTGGAAGCTTGGCGAGGGGATTCAGGCGGTTGATATGACGCAAGACTTACGATCGATCAGCTTCGAAGCATCTGGGTCGAAATATAGAGACACAAAATCGACAATGAAATCTTTTACCAGCTCCATATCGTGTCATCAATGACCGTCGGCCGTCCACACGGCGTCCTTCGGCGCGGGGATCGGCGGGCGGCATACCGGCTTGCGTTTTGGCTTCCGGGGCTTGTCGGGGCGCCTACGAACATGTGTGGCGCCACTATTTCCGGTTGAAGCCCCTAGTATCTGGCGCTTTTCTAAGCTGCCTGAGTAATCGGCCTTCGGTACAAGGGTGACATCATTCATGCACCTCCGACGGTCGATCCCCTCTCTGATTACAAATAGTGGTTCGAACGAAGGTCTGTGAATAGTACAATGGCGGAGGCCCAAATTAGGCCATGCCGCTTGAGCAATCAATCTACGAATACTGCTTCAACCACGCAGTCGCTATTCCCGGGGCGGCCTGTCGGATTATCCATGGAGGATACAAAACCGCTTGTAGATATGATTGACATAAATGTCTTGTTAACCCAAGTGAAAGAAATCATTTAAGTAAATTGGGTTGCTTGGCTTGGTTTTGTCATTAACAAACCCATCACAAGAGAATTGAAGTGCGCTCAATTTCTATCCCTTGGAAAATGGCACACAACATCCTCATCACTGGCGCCTCAGGGTACCTTGGTGGAACACTTCTTGCACGCTGGAAAGAAGCCGGCCTCAGCGGTTACGACAAGCTGTTCGCTCTTGTTCGAACAGATGCGCAAGCTGAAGCCGTCAAAAGTTACGGCGCCGAACCCCTTTCCTTTTCACTCAAGGATGAGAATGCCGTCAGAGACGCGGTCGTGAACAACCGGATCACGATTGTGTACTACCTGATCGATGCCCTCAACTCTGCTGGCCAGAAGAACTTCATCAAGGCTTTGGCAGAAGTGAAGCGCCTGACAGGAGAAGACGTTCATTTTCTTCATGTAAGTAGTGCAGATTCACGCTTTCAAAATGCGGGAACCCTGACAATTGTGTTGCAAGACCACCGGGGCAAAGATTTTCTCGAGCCACGCTGGAGCTCCCACAGATCGCCCGTTGCTCGACACCGACACAGATCTGTACAATGTTCAGAAGGCGCAAAAGGCACCCATTCCTATCATGCAAACCGTAAGTACTGCTTGAAAGTGGGTTTCCACGTGTGACCGGTCTGACGAAACCCAGGCCGTTGACACCAACAACATCATCATTGAAGAGGCAGCTGCGCAAGGTGTGAAAGCATACATCTTTGCTCCCTGCATCGTTTGTAAGCAACCGGCCATCGATTTCCCAAAAGGCCAGTTTCTGACGGAATGCGCAGATGGTAAAAATGAGGGCTTTGGAAACCCTGTTTCTATTCAGACCAGGGAAATTGTCAAAGCCGCCAAAGCTGCTGGTCGTGTTTACTCAATTACTCCAGGACGGCCGGTAAGCCCACCTCGCCGTAAAGACTACTTACTGAATCTAATTATGATAGACTTGGCCAGTATGCCATGTTACAGATAACGCGACCCTCTACCTCCGAATTTTGCGTGCTATCCTCAACGGTGACGATCCGGGCAGCGGCAAGAACGGTTACTATCTGGCATCCGCTGGTAGTGTTGAGTGGGATGCTCTTTACGCCGCAATGGCCAAGGCTCTGTTCAAAAGAGGCATCATTTCCACCGACGAAGTCGTGCAGGCTGATCAGAAAGCAGTCGACATCATGGCTAAGGGTATGGGTGTGGATGCATCCCTAGTTGAGATGGGTTTGGCTGGAAAGTAAGTTTCAAACCTCCACAGTAACCTTGACTATGGTATCCAGCATGGTATGCTGACATATTTGTCCTCCCGACAGGTGCACATTCACATCTCGACATGGCTCTGAGATTGGGTGGAAACCTCAATACCCACCGGAACACATCCTCGATGTCGCTGATGCGGAGGTAGAGCTAATCCTCAAGAACTTGAAGTAGATGAGAAGCATGAAATGGCGCGTTGTCGTATTCAATTGAGCAGCTCGTTCTTTTCAGATAGAATGTAATACTCTTATTGGATTATCTGTCGTTGTTCTACATACATGAGAATCGTAGAAGGCGATTCAATCAGATTCCCCGCGCTAGCTACCTTAATCAAGGATAAGTACTTATTTCTCCTGCTTCTCCGATGTTTTCCGGGCCTTTGATTGGTGGTTTTCGTATCTTTGTCAAAAGTTCCTGCAGTATGTATGTCAGCAATGAGGGGACAAACACCGCGGACCGTCCGTGGCAACGAGGATCCGTGGATCGGCCCCGCTCGGGATTTGTCACTGCTGCCTACGCCCTACACCAAACAGTTGTTGACACCTTACATCATGCCGTCCCATTTCAACTCCTCCCTCACTGTTGTCTGATCAATATTTCAATCTCACATTGATCAAAGTATGCCATTGAGAGCTCGCGAAATAAACAAGCACAACATGTCCGGGCAACTCATCTTTTTCGACATTCCTAGCAGAGACGGCACTTGCTGGTCTCTGAACACGTGGAAAAGTAGGACCCTTAACCAGCAGATAAGAGAACAGAGCTAACACCGTTACCCAGCGCGCCTGGCTCTCAACTTCAAGGGGGTCGACTACAAGACGGAGTGGCTCGAGTATCCTGACATTGCAGGCCGACTGGAAGCGGCTGGTCTCAAAGGCGACCCCGACCAGATCAGGCCTTTCACCTGCCCCACCGTCCAGTTTCCCGACGGCACATACATCATGAACAGCAAGAAAATCATCCCCCGTATTGAAGCCGACTATCCGGAGCCGCCCCTGTACCACGACGCAGACCTGTCTCAGGAAGCGCTCAAGCACATCGCCCCGGTCTGGGACGCCTTGGCACCTATTCTCCTCCCCGTGGCTCCTCGTGAGGTTCTGAACGAGTGCAGCGCAGAGTATTTCTGGCGGACGCGCAAGGAGTTTCTGGGCATGAGTCTGGACGAGTTTGGGGAGAAGAACGGTGGCGAAAAGGCGTGGGAGAAGGCCAAGAAGCCCATCGAGGACGCTGCTGCGCTGTTGAACAAGACGGAGGGTCCCTTCTTTCTCGGGGACAAGGGTAAGTCACCCCAGCCAGCAGGACGATTGGTGTTAACAAGAGCCAGTTTCGTACGCCGACTTCCTCTACGTCGGCGTCATAGCGATGGCGAAGAGGTTTAACGAGGAGAACTACCGCCGTATCGTCGAAATCTCGCCAGCATTTGACAAGCAGTACAAGGCTTGTGGCCCTTGGCTCGAGAGAAACGATCACTGAGTATGGAAAGTGATAGGAAACTTGGCTTTGCACATCGAAGTCTTTTATCAGCAATTGTTCCTGCTTATTAGGGAGTTGTCTATGAAATGATACAAAAGAACCTTTACATGTACCCAACTAGCTGAAGGCCAGATATCATTTTCCGCCTATCGTCTTTCCAACATTATGTTCCGCTCGTCTCCGAATGCATCACTTTTGTACCGAGCAAGATCGCGGACGAGCCTGCCCGGGTGAATCCAGAGATACAACGCCATGATGGCAACCATAAGAGCAGCGTCGACGGCGTACACAAAGAACTCATGCTTGATGATGTATCCCCCCTCTCCCTGGAGATACTCTATTCCCCTAACCAAACTCCTCACAAACATGAGGAGGGCCACTCCGTATGTCATCAAGTAGTACTTGTTCCAGTTGATCCCGGCGTGGGTCGCATTCAGGTTGGGCGCCTCGCGCTTGGCCCATCGGTGCGAGTGAGCACAAGAAAGCGCAAACAGGCAAATGACGCCGAGCTGCGCAAGCAGTCCGCCCATGATGATCTTCCTACTCAGATCGATAGCGGAGGGGTCGCCGGAGGCCGGCATGATTGATCCGAAAACCTGGCTGACAAAGCAGCCGATGTCGACGACGACGTAGAAGAAGGCCGTGAGCCGCGGGCTGATGGCGGCATGGCGTCGAAGATCGAGGGCTATGATGATACGGCCGAGACTCATGTAGATCGTTGCGGCGAAGAGGGGCGGGGATCCGAGGATGAGGAGGTTCTGCATGATGAAGGGGCCGACGGCGAGCGGGTTTTCGGATGCCTTTGCGCGGCCGTAGTAGCCAAACGCCTCGCCTGTGATTTACTTTAGCCAAAGGGGAATCACTAGGTGCGAATGCTTAAAAGATAGAGTGCTTACCCACGCCGCCAAGTATGAACGGGAGAAAATGCCACGCGCGAAGCCAGAAGAAGTAGCCTACATGTCCCACGACACCAATAGCGAACAACACTACAAATGTCCAGGCTGCTCCTGCATTGGGCCGGTATTCGTAGAAGACAATTTGTGTGCCGTTTACAACCGGCCCAAAAGGGCCATCGCCGTCGTTCATCATGGTAATGGCAGCGGTTGAGGCGGAAGTCCGAAAGATAGCAGAGAAATAGCCACAGGGGTAAGACAAAAGAACGGTAAAAATGGAAATAAACAAATACACCAGAGAGAGAATTAGAATCAAAAAGCTAGAAGACGCCGCTCTTATCATTAATGCTTCATGATTCAGGGGGGCGGGTCGCTGTGGCAGTGACACGGCTTTTTCGTATTGAAATACGAATTTTCGGATTAGAGAAAGCTCAACGTTGACTCCAATCAGAATATTGCACACGAAACGGGTGTGTCCACTGATCTGGTTAAACATTTCTATTGCGGAATTTCTATGAATAGTATATAGGGTACTTTTTAGCATCGTTAAGTGTTAACAAATACATTGGTCATGCGCATGTCCTCGTGGTACTTTGGTGCATTTCCGAGGCTGTCTCTAACGCCTCAAGTCGGGGCTGCAGGTTTCGCTGGTGAGGAGGGACTTGTAATGCAATTAAAAGCTTCAAGGGATGACCTTTTTTGCTGTGTCTACAGCGATTTGCAGTACACTAAAGAAAATAGCCTACCTAGAAAACTGGCCACCATGCTTTCATGAATAGCGACATGCAGCTTCTGGACGGACTCCGGGGACTGTTGCGTGGCAGCATTCTTGACGAGCTCTGTGATCGTCATATGTCGAAAGTTGGCAAGCTTTGCCATCTGCTGTTGACACCAGCCGCAACTGGGCATCTGGCCAGAGTCGACTTCGGTGTTTCCAAACATTGCCTTTCTCTTTATACCTATTCGCGAAAGATTTCCCTTCTCCGAAGGCTGATGTGCGCACTCTTTGGGTTGAAATGAGGTGTAAGGTGTGGACCTCGGTGTGTGCTGTTTTGCTAGGAAAATGAACGAGGAAGGTAAGTTGGGAGCCGTACGATTGGATCAGAATAGCAGGTAGACGGACAAGAGAAGTTGCTCACGGTCCACGTGGAGGAATAGCATGAGCCTTTCGCAGACCAGGCCATCTACTTATAGCATCAATGATGACCACGCGAACGTGGCATCATGGATCAGATCAAAACCATGCCAAACCGTTTACACATTTTAGAAAATTATGAAGTGATCTTTACCACGCCTTTAAGATTTAGGCACTGGGAGATTCCCACCTCCTCACCATGGAAAACTAAATGATTCATCCGCTTTCATACAATCACGGCGATTACCTAGCTTGGGATACTGATGGCAGTGGGATTCCAACGCCCGAGATCATCCCTTGCCAGGTCATTCCTCCTTGCGACCTGACGCTGTAAAGGACACTTCTTCCCAACCGCAGAGTCGGCCAACGCGCTGACGGCAGGACTCAGCCGCACGCGAGGCATCTTTTACAACAAAACTGGCCGTGACATAACCGTCGCTTGGTTGTTTCGCGGAAGCCTCCGTCGCGTTCAAGATCTAGGCATCAGACTACTCACACCAATCGGGTATTGGAGGCCATCCTGGACCGTTCGCCGTCGGATACAGAACTCCAGCTCTGCTGGGTTACCGCTGCTAGGTAATGTGACGGAGAATACCACTTGACGAACATCGTGGTGTAGGTTTGTTGAGCTGATCCAGCTGTGCCCCGAAGGCCTCTGGAAGCCCGAAATGCTGCCCGTCCGCATGAGAAAGCAACTCACAGGAATCTTGATGGATCTAGCACGAATCAGCCACGCTTTCGGCACAGCTGGCTTCCATAGAAATCCAAGGTGTTGTGAAGAAGATACGCTAGCAACAAGAGGATACCAGACGTGCAAATAACCGCCCTATCCACGTATACTCGAACAGATTCTCATCCTGGGAACGATACGGAGCGGGGGGGAGTTATCGCCGAGCACAAGTTTAGTTCGAGTCGCCAGCGTCCAGAGCTGAGAGCATGCGCCAGGGCGTTGCACGGCTCTTCCCCACGATATGTACCGGCGAATGTTCACGCCTGTGACTTTTCTGCATCATCGCTGCCAGAGACTTGATCTGCGAGCGTGACTCTGCAATGATCTGTTCATTTGCGCCCCGGTCCTAAAAGATCTAGATAAACATCAAGACCGAAAACCGTTACTGCCAAGTCACAGTATCAGACTTGCATAAAATAAATAGAACAGTCTACATCAAAACGGAATGGCCCACTTGATATTGGGGAGAAGATAGAATTGAGCTAAGGATCACAAAATAGGATTCCTCGGGACTGCCAAGATCGGGTCGTTGTTCGAGCAACCGTGACACAGCACCGGGGCGGACAATTCAGTCGGTGCGTAATTAAGAGCGCATAGTGACCTCCTCTCAGTCGCTTCGTAGGGATTCATGGCAGCTGCAATCCGTCAGCAATACCTCCAGAAATAATCCGGAGGATTGCGTGTAAGTCGACTGGAAACCTTACGATGGCAGGGCGTCGGGCATGTGGGGTTATGCCGGCAGAAGAAATATCTTAGTCCTGCCACCAGCTGAAAACCGTGCTTTGCTTGGCTCTTTTCAGCGCATGATGCAGTGCGAGGTTCGGGGCTGTAGTGTGAATTGTGTTGCGCAGCTGCGAGGACGAGAAAAGTCCATTTGCTTGTATTAAGATTGCATGATGGGGTCGGCAAGTGGCACAAGACGGAGGCGTAGGCTCTTGACTCAGATTGATCTTTCGAACGGCCTGGGGGCGGTCCGGAAGCCGCCGCCCCCTCCGGACAAGATGCGCCGATGGGCTTGTTGAGACCCGCCTCCGACCGACTTGTAAGACCGTGGCGACAAACGCAGCGGAATGAAAGCAGAGGGATACTGGCGATCAAAAGCCCTTGCTGCAAACACTCTATCGCCGGCGAACTGTCTTAGAGTGTCTCTGGATGATGGGCATAGCAGACAGGTTGACGCGTGGGAGGTAATAGGTCACTGTCAGTCAAGCTTTGATGGGACGCGCAAGTACCCGTTAGTGGTTCAGTTGCGCAAGCGTGTGGTTGCTTCTTCTAGAATCGATAATTCAGTTCGAGATGTCTAACCGGCGGCAGTGGAAAATGGCAGGTGAGACTCTGACTTTGCCGCCAACGCGTCTGGATCATGACGCGATAGCCGGCAGTCGTGAGTCTCTCTCTCTGGCCGGCACTCGGCGATGCAGGTACAATGCAAATGCAGGTGAGGAGCACCAACGGACGGTCGATTATGATCGGCAATGGGATGCAGGGCTTGAGCCTTGTGCATCTGGACAAGGAGACTGCGAGCGAATGGTCCGACGCGCGAGGCAGGCCGGTCTTGGCATTGACCGGGGCTTGTCAAATCGCAAAAGTTGTCCGTTCATCGGGTAGGCGATCCTTGGGGGGCCCGGAGGAGCTGGCGAGTGCAGGTGCGGGCACGTCAGAGAACGCCAAAACGTCAGCAATTGACTTCTTGGACGGGGAGAGTGTGAAGCAGCCTGAATGGCAAATGAGATGATCGGCGAGGAACAGTATTGACAGAGGCGATTGGGTGAAAGGCGCAAAGGTGAGACTGAGAACAGACATCTCAAACGGCACGAGAAGCCGTACCCGTGCCGGTGGCTGATTCTTGATCAGATTGGCGTGCCGTGCGTGGCTGGCGGCCGTCGAAAGAAGGCGCCGCAATGGATTCGTAGGTCGATCGGGCGGAAGCCAAAAATAAGACTTGAAATCAGACAGGAATAAGAAACGGAGTGCTTGGCTGCCTGGTTGGGATGGTGTTGGGATGAGTTGGAAATGTCCCCATGTTCCTGAATGGCCTCATGTGGTGTCCAAACAAAGGGTGACAGCCAGCTGGAGCCTTCAGCCCGAAACCATGCTTCTGTGCCTGCATGCCAAGTGCCTTGGTCATTTAGCAGTGGGTGCTAAGACGGTGTAAGGCTCGCAAACCATCTTGGCGAGGCCAAAGGGCATTGAATACAGCAACGTGTTTGCTTAGCCTTTCAGGTCATGGTCTATTTTGTGAAGGTCAGTGAGAAGAAGAAGCACAAAATAGGTATCCCGACCTTGCCAGAAACGGAAACGCTCAGGTCGCCCACGTGCCTGCCTTTCCGTGGACGGTTCCCAAGGAGAGAGGCTGGTCAGGAAGGAGCAAAAGAGTGCCTGGGCAGGAACAGAAAGCATTGAGGGGAAAGACCACCTGCCCCTGCCCCGACCATAGTGAGCAGTCAGCCAGTCAGCAATCAAGCAACAGCAGGCGCGACACTGAATTGGCGGCAGTTGCAACCAGCAAACGAAAGGAGAAACTGCGTCTGCAGCACGCTTTCCGCGGCCTGCACAAAGTTGGAAAGCACAGCGGATGACCAGCGTTGTTTCCTTCCCATCACAAAAATAATCGTAAGGCTGATGAAACCAATCACACCCACGGAAATGCAACCCTCCCAACCAAACATCCAGGCGGGCAGTGACCACCCTCGGCATCGGAAGAAGTTGCGGTTACTGCTCCCGTACCTAGTCATCCATCCGTCCCGTCGCGATGCCCTGTGCTGCACTGCGAAAACTTCAGTTGGATATCCAATGCAACATCCACCTCTCCCCGCTGGTCGCATTCGCGGGGCCCCAATACGAGCGCAATCCCACAGATTCATACTTTTTGCAATCAATTTGACGTAGGACAAGACTCGACGGAGAAGTCTGTCAGCACGAAGCGGAGTACAGCATCCCCAAACAAGCCAATTCATCCACCCGCTCTACCCACACACGAGACACTGATGGGCATGGACAAGAACGAAGCGACCGGGGCTTTCTCGCGGGCGGCAGCACAGCAATCACTCAGTCAATCAGGACTTGCGACTCACGATTCACAACGCAGCCTGCATTGGCATACACCTCGCTTCTCGACTCTGCCAGTGCTGCTGCCTGCCCTCCTCTGCCTTGCAGGAATCTCAGACCCTCGGAGATGATCAAAATGCGTCACATCGGCCTGGGCAATCAAGGGCTTGCGCAAGTCGGACGACAGCCGGTGGCATCAACACCAACAGAAGCGAGAGAGGAAGACGGCCTACCATGACAAAAACAATCCACGAAAAGAAGCAATGGAAGACGCTAATCCATCGTTCGTCTCAAACAAACACTCCCCCAAGCTAAGATGAACGGCGCATCGACACCGCGGACAATACCAGCCACGCCATCGCCGCACCGTGCTCACTGCCCCCTCCTGCGCTTCCGCACTCAGTCATCTCACGCTGCAGGTACTGACTGCAGTCTTCTCTGAAGGGCCTCAAGGACGCACGCAACAACGCCAGACGATCTCCCTTCTTTTCCCCGAATAGCGCCAAATCCCCTGCACGCTCGGGAAACACACCGCTGCCACGGGATCAGCTTTCCAATCCTCACAGGCACACTCGCATTCAATTGCAGATGCAACTGGGTTGGTCCCCATCTCACGATGTGCGACAGCGAGGATGCTTGATGCTGACACCCAATCACAGCAACCGCGTCCCTTACGTCAGTCCCCTTTCATACGACTCTAATGCGCCAAGTCCTGCACCTTCATACACCCTTCTTTCCCACGAGTTTGCCGGATGACATCGCCCAGCTGGGAGGACCCTAATACGACGCCCGAAGGAAAAAGTACCGCACCTCGTCAAAGCCTCCAAGCCTCAACAGCATCCAACCAAATCCCTCTGCTGCTGGCCCCGCGCCGCTCCCGCCGCCTTCCCTTCCACACAAAGCCGTTGCCGATGATCTCTTTGTCATTGTCCCCTTTATGTTGCCCTGCCTGGCTGCCTGTCGCGATGCTCGCCGTCTTCCCTAAAAGGTACAAGC